ATTTCCCCTTTGCTGTTCAGCTTGATTTGTCTTTGGTGTCTTTTTGAGCAGGGCAGAGTATGTTAAAGAAAACATGAGTAAAACTAAGCAAAAGCTAATCAGGCAGTTAATGTTACACAGCTAAATGTTTAGAGCTGTGCTCCAGGTACAAACTTTGGCTGCTGATTCTGGTGGTTTTGTTGCTTTGGGATTGTTGGTTTTTTTCTTAGCACCATGAATGGGATGGTAACTAGTGAGATTTTAAGTATAACAGTGTATTTAGTGTACAGATTTCTGTTTTAAGGCTGGGAAATCCCAGCAAATGTAGGTTTGAGCTGGAGCTTCTAGATCATGTGCTGCTAACCAGAAAAGTAACTACTCCTACTCTCTTATTTCTCTTACAAATGTAAAGAAGCTTTTGTTTAGGGTGTCACATTGGAACAGAGTGAAAACCTTGTGGTATTTTGAGTGAGGGAAGATTTTGAGATTGTGCACAACTTTGTTTTTCCACAACAGCTAAAAGATTATCTCCTGTTTTGATTCATGTCCTTCTCTTAAAACGTGTGAATGGTTACAGTGGAAGCTTTTAGCAATTTCTAGGAGTTCATTGCATTTACCTGCCCTTGTGTTCCCAGTTCCAGCACTGTAGGCACAGAATGTTGCTGTGATACAAACAGGGTTCAGAACCAATGGTGATGCTGCCCCACCAGCCATGGCAGCAATCCCTAACAGTCATCTCTAACAGGATGCTCCTGGTGAAAAATGGGATTCCATAAATCCACTGAGTGGACACAGGCAATGGCTCTTGACTGTCATAAGCCCTTGAAGGCTGTTGTGTCATCTTTGGCATTACTAACTCTTGCTAAACTTAGATTTGTAGGCTATGAATTCTCCTTTAGATATGTAATTCTAAGGGGAGGGACAGGAATAAGCACTCCAACTACAACTCCCTGCCAGGGTTGGAGAGGGGTGGGAGATGTCTGTCCTGCCATGGCTGCAGGGAGAGGAGTAGAGGGAATGG